TTGTGCCTGCTGCCCCAGTGGCTCCTTGTGGTCCTGTGGCCCCTGTTGCTCCTGTGGCCCCTGTTGCCCCAGTATCCCCCTTATCTCCCTTGATACCATCGGGCAAAGTGATATTTTTGCTATTGTAATTATCAAATGTTATCGTAACATCGCCATCTTTTGTGTTCTTGAAATTGAGTTGAAATGGTTCAATCTTGAAATCAACAGTTCCGGCATTATCGTAAGTCCTCAATACTCCTATGCTATCGTTTGCATCATACAGGTCAGTTATATTAGTCTTAGCTGCTGAACCATTTATGGTGAGGCTCCTTTTAACCGAGTTGCTTACTGTAACAGTGTCTGTCGTGCTCACGCTCTGGTTATTGATATTGATATATGCCCCTTTATACAGCATCGTCTCACACATCATATAATCGACGTATAGGCCTCCCTCGATGTGTGTCTTCAAATTTTCGATTGAGCCGCCATAGATTGCCTTCACATCGGCATCAGACCATACCCCATTAGTTGCGTTGAACAGAATTCCAGCTATGCCTCTATCGAGGCTATACCTGCCATCTAGAAGGAAATAGCACCTTACATTGTAATCAGACAAGACAGGGGGGTACAATTGGAGCCAGTCTGTTGTTGGCGGGTTGGTGTTGTTATATACTATATCGCCGTTCAGATAGCACTTAAAGGAATCCTTTGTAAGGCTTACAGCGTAATGGTTCCAGTCTTGGAACTTGCCAGCTGACACATCAAGTGTGTTGTTGATAACGAAAGAATACCAGTTTTCAACCCTATTGTGTGTAGTGTCGATATACACAATCTTTACAATGATTTGAAGCTCATATAAAACACCGGCTGGTGTTCTAAAAACGTTGTAATATAGCTCTGTGCCATCATAGTATGGGTCAAGATTATAAAGCGGGTCCAGGCTCTTCTTTCGATATTTGATTTGGAATAAGCGATATTCAGTGTTACCTCCATCGTTCTCGTCGAAGTTGTCAAATCTGAACCACCAAGCAAGATTAATGTATTGACCAAAGACCAGGTCATCCAAAATAATTTTCTGGCTGCTGTCGCAATTCATACGATAAAAACTTGACACCGTGAATGTGTCATATATAGTGCCAAAAAATTGGATGTTTGTGTAGCTTGTGTTCAGCTCATTGATTACCTCTGTAGATTTTGAAAGGCCAAGGAACACATCTCCTTTCAAGTAATTGC